CCACAGGCCTTGCTGGGGAAGGTCAAGTCAGAAAACGTGCATGCTGAGCCCACTTTTTCGTTTGTCCTGATGGAGAACCAGACAGCAGGGCCTGCAGCTGCTGGAGCCCCTTCAGGGGAGTTCCTGAGCGGCAAGAAAGGCGCTTTTGATTTAAATTCTCTGCAAAGGTGATAATAGCTTCTCATCTACAGGGCATCCAGTCTCTGGAGAGGGGACTGGGTGACTTCAGAGCATGGAGTGGGCAGGGCAAGGGAGAGGCAGGCCCAAGGCTGGGCACAGTGATGCCTGGCCTGATGACCCCAAGGGCCCTCCCTGTCCTGCCAGGCGGAGGTCAAGGGTGAACAAGCACTAGCTGCTGGCTCCCCCTGTGCTGCAGCAGTCAGGGTCCCTGGCCCCTCTGCCAACCCAGTCCCCCACCTCTGACCAGCTGAGGGCCAGTAAGACTGCCTGCTGGGTGTTTCTGTAAACACTGTGTGTGTGGGTGGATGTGCCTTCTTCGTAAACATGGACGGCTGTAATCCAGGGACAGCCATTTCTGGCGGAGGGGACATGGCCTGAAGAAGTGCACAAGCAGGACTGTCAGGGTTCCTAGAGGCCCTGCCCACCCCTGGCTAGCCTCTGCCATCAAGTGTCCCAGCTTCCTGCTTCCCCAGAGAGCCACTCACTGAGGGCACGTGAGGAAGGCCCAGGCACTCATCAGGGGCTGCCCACCAAGCAGAGGGACCTGCTCCTTAGGAAGCCTCCCCAGGCACCACGCCAAAATGAAAAGGCAGCATCCACAGGGTTCACAGTCCAGTAAAGGCTGTGCGGCTTTGGGGTGGGGGTCACTCAATGGTGCTGCCCATGGAAGGGTTTGCTCTCTGTGAAGTCCACCTGCTATTGAAGGCATGGCGTGGATGCAGTGACCCCCTGAGAGGAGAGTCCTTACTGCCCATTCCTCGCCTGCTGGAAGGACATGCTAGCCAGGCTGCCCTCGGTGCAACACACTGGGGCCTGGTTGCTGTGTTGCTCCCTCTGCACAGTTCTGATTTTTAGGAAGCTCTCTCTCTCATGTGGCTTCTCCCTAGCCCACACCACTCTCTGCCTGATCTAGTAAGGGCTGCACTTGGCTCCGTTTTGACAACTTTTATTAGTTTAAACATGTATTAAGGGATATTTTACATATAAAGGCAACCCATTTTGAGTGCACAATTGAATTATTTGTAGTAACTTTACAAAGTAGTACAACTATCACCAATTTTATTACTTTTAATATGTTTTATTGGTTTCAGAAAAGAAGGGAGAGGGAGAGAGAAATAGAAACATCAATGATGAGAGAGAATCCTCAATCAGCTGCCTCCTGCACACCCCCTACTGGGGATCTAGCTGGAACCTGGGCATGGGGATGTGCCCTGACTGGGAATCAAACTCTGACCTGTTTCATAGGTCGATGCTCCACCACCAAGCCATTCTGCCAGGCCAACTACCACCAATTTTAGAACATTTTTATCACCCCAGAAAGAAATCCATCCCCCTTAAGCAGTTGTTCCCCACATCTCCCTACCTCAGGCTCTGGCGGCCACTAATCTACTTTGTCTATGGATTTGCCTATTCTGGAAGTTTCACATAAATGGGTACTTTATTCCTTTTTATAAATGAATATAGACATTGTGTGGATAATACCACATTTTGTTTATCCGTTGATCTGTTAATGGATGTTTTGGTTGTTTCCACCTTTTGATGATTGTGAATTAAGCTGCTGTGAACATTCATATACAAATTTTTGTGTGGACATGTTTTCATTTCTCTAGGAATAGAATTGCTGCATTGTAAGGTACTTTTATGCTTAACTTTTTAAGTTACTTATAAATTACATGTCATAAGTGAATATGGTCTCATAAAATGGTCATCATTTGTAGGTTGGGAGCCTGTCTACGGCGTGGCTCAGTTGGATGGAGCATCATCCTGTCCACCAAAAGGTCGTGGGTTGGTTCCCTGGTCAGGGCACATATGGAAGGCAACCAATTGATGTTTCTCTCTCTTTCTCTACTTTCCTCTCTCTCTAAAAATCAATAAAAACGTATTCTCCAGCCCTAGCCAGTTTGGCTTAGTGGATGGAATGTTGGTCTGAAGACTAAAGAGTCCAGGTTTGATTCTGGTCAAGGGTATGTACCTCAGTTGCAGCTCTGGTCCTGGTCCTGGCCCTGGTTGGGGCACGTGTGGAAGGCAACCAATCAATGTGTCTCTCTCACATCGATGTTTCTCTCTCTGTCTCTCCCCCTCCCTTCCACTGTTTCTAAAAATCAATGGAAAAATATCCTCAGGTGAGGATTAACCAAACACACACACACACACACAACATATCCTCTGGTGAGGATTAAAAAAATGTCATAAATGAAGAGAAAGTCACCCCCGAGGAAACAATGCTGTCCCTTTGTTGAGTGTCCTTCCAGACCTAACCCTACGCAAGCATTCCATTTCTCTATATGTAAATCTAGAATGAAAATAATTGGCTAGGTTTTATTAAACATAAATGGTGAAATTACACTGGCCGTACTGCAGTCATTTGCTTTCTTCTCATGTAGGTGCTATCTGCACCTCATGCCGCTCACCTGGTTAAGGTAATAGTTCCGTCAGTTTCCTGACTTTCATCATCCCTGCAATGCTGCCCTGAAATCCTTTGAGCTCCTTTCTGAGGATTTCTCCATGCTAAATCAGATAGAATCACTAGCCAGTCCAACCTCCCTCCCTGAGGGCTGTTCCCCAAGACTACTTGTTCATTCTCACAATTCTCACACCCATATCCTGGCCCACAAACGATGTTGCCAATCTGGTGGGTGAAAAGGGTACTGTTTTACTTTAATTTTCATTTCGAAGAGTGAAAATTAACATCTCCACACATGTTCACAGGCTTCTCATACTTGTTTGCCCATTAGGAAAATTACCCATCCACCCGGTAAACAATCCCAAAGTCCCTTCCTCCAGGGAGCCTCCGTAGTCGTGGGCCCTCCAGAGTCCCTCACCTGGGCTGACCCGAACTCAGCTGGGCATCTAGGCCCGGGCACGTGGAGGCAGAGTCCTGTCACTCCGCTGCTGGAGCCTGTGCTGCTATCACCCGCCCGCGGAGCCCCCGGTTCTGGAACGTTAGACCTTCCCAGCCACGCGCTGTGACCTACGACCTTGCGAAGGACAGACGCCACGGACTGGACCCGCCTGTCAGCTCTCTGAACCCACACGGAAGGGCCGCGCCCACTTCCCAGGCCCAGCCACCGCCCCCCTCGGGCCCACCCATTTTGGCAGCGGAAGTCCCTCCTCTCCAGATCCCCAGTGCTGATTGGCCGCTTTTGCCCGCCCAGGTCACGCCCCGCCACGGGAGGGCGGCTTCCGAGAGCGCAATTCCAGGGGGCCAACCCGCGCTCTGTGGGATCTCTGCGGAAGTAGCCGGCCGCAGCTTACTAGGGCGGTTTAGTCCTCCCGGACCCAGCCGCGTCACCTCAGCCCAGGGACCGCCACCATCCAGCTCCGGTCCATTGGAAGAAGGGGGCGTATGCAAACAACTTGGAGTTCCAAGCTCCTCATTGGTGAGTGTGTAGTGAAGAGGGCGGGAAATAGGGGGTGGGCTTAGAGGAACGTGATTGACGTGCTGTTGGTCCAGTGGCTATGGGAGGATCAGCGGAGGTGGCCAATGACGATGTGGAGGGGCGGGACAAGTGTGAGGTATGGTGGGGGGCAGTGGGCGGGATTGCGGGTGGTTCCGTGACGCTTCAGTCCTGTAGCGATGCTGACTGACGTGCAGGTAGACCAGTGGTTCTTGGAAAGAGGGAGATAAGTGTCCAATGGCGACATCGAGAAGGCGAGGTGGCTGAAATCTCCGCAACTCTGTGTGGGGAACGGTGGCGGAGGGGGCAGCCATGACAGACGTGTACGGAGACCAATGATATCAGGAAAGGGTCGGTGGGCGACCAATGGAGATCGCAGAGAGGTGGGCGGTGATGGGGAGGAGTGACCGGAGGCTTTACTACAATGTGTGGGAAACCGTGGGGGCGGGCGTACGTGAAGGACGTGCATGCATACCAATC